AGAGGGCTGGTGAGAGAGGGCTAGTGAGTGTGGGCTGGTGAGAGAGGGCTGGTGAGTGAGGGCTGGTGAGTGAGGGCTGGTGAGAGAGGGCTGGTGAGAGAGGGCTAGTGAGTGTGGGCTGGTGAGAGAGGGCTGGTGAGAGAGGGCTGGTGAGTGAGGGCTGATGAGAGAGGGCTGGTGAGTGAGGGCTGGTGAGTGAGGGCTGGTGAGTGAGGGCTGGTGAGTGAGGGCTGGTGAGTGAGGGCTGGTGAGTGTGGGCTGGTGAGAGAGGGCTGGTGAGTGAGGGCTGGTGAGAGTGGGCTGGTGAGTGAGGGCTGGTGAGTGTGGGCTGGTGAGAGAGGGCTGGTGAGTGAGGGCTGGTGAGTGAGGGCTGGTGAGTGAGGGCTGGTGAGAGAGGGTTGGTGAGAGAGGGCTGGTGAGTGAGGGATGGTGAGTGAGGGCTGGTGAGAGAGGACTGGTGAGTGTGGGCTGGTGAGAGAGGGCTGGTGAGTGAGGGCTGGTGAAAGAGGGCTGGTGAGAGAGGGCTGGTGAGTGAGGGCTGGTGAGTGAGGGCTGGTGAGTGTGGGCTAGTGAGTGAGGGCGGGTGAGTGAGGGCTGGTGAGTGTAAGCTGGTGAGTGATGGCTGGTGAGTGAGGGCTGGTGAGTGAGGGCGGGTGAGTGAGGGCTGGTGAGTGAGGGCTGGTGAGTGAGGGCTGGTGAGAGAGGGCTGGTGAGTGAGGGCTGATGAGTGAGGGCTGGTGAGTAAGGGCTGGTGAGTGAGGGCTGGTGAAAGAGGGCTGGTGAGTGAGGGTTGGTGAGTGAGGGCTGGTGAGTGTGGGCTGGTGAGTGAGGGCTGGTGAGTGTGGGCTGGTGAGTGAGGGCTGGTGAGTGAGGGCTGGTGAGTGAGGGCTGGTGAGAGAGGGCTGGTGAGTGAGGGCTGATGAGTGAGGGCTGGTGAGTGAGGGCTGGTGAGTGAGGGCTGGTGAAAGAGGGCTGGTGAGTGAGGGATGGTGAGTGAGGGCTGGTGAGTGTGGGCTGGTGAGTGAGGGCTGGTGAGTGTGGGCTGGTGAGTGAGGGCTGGTGAGTGAGGGCTGGTGAGTGAAGGCTGGTGAGTGAGGGCTGGTGAGTGTGGGCTGGTGAATGAGGGCTGGTGAGTGAGGGCTGGTGAGTGTGGGCTGGTGAGTGAGGGCTGGTGAGTGAGGGCTGGTGAGTGAGGGCTGGTGAGTGTGGGCTGGTGAGTGTAAGCTGGTGAGTGATGGCTGGTGAGTGAGGGCTGGTGAAAGAGGGCTGGTGAGTGAGGGCTAGTGAGTGAGGGCTGGAGAAAGAGGGCTGGTGAGTGAGGGCTGGTGAGTGAGGGCTGGTGAGTGTGGGCTGGTGAGTGTGGGCTGGTGAGAGAGGGCTGGTGAGAGATGGTGAGTGAGGGCTGGTGAGAGAGGGCTGGTGAGAGATGGTGAGTGAGGGCTGGTGAGAGAAGGCTGGTGAGTGAGGACTGGTGAGTGAGGGCTGGTGAGTGAAGGCTGGTGAGTGAGGGCTGGTGAATGAGGGCTGGTGAGTGAGGACTGGTGAGAGAGGGCTGGTGAGTGAGAGATGGCGAGAGATGGTGAGTGAGGGCTGGTGAGAGAGGGCTGGTGAGAGAGGGCTGGTGAGTGAGGGCTGGTGAGAGATGGTGAGTGAGGGCTGGTGAGAGAGGGCTGGTGAGTGAGGACTGGTGAGAGATGGTGAGTGAGGGCTGGTGAATGAGGGCTGGTGAATGAGGGCTGGTGAGAGAGGGCTGGTGAGAGATGGTGAGTGAGGGCTGGTGAGAGAGGGCTGGTGAGTGAGGGCTGGTGAGAGATGGTGAGTGAGGGCTGGTGAGTGAGGGCTGGTGAGTGAGGGCAGGTGAGAGAAGGCTGGTGAGTGAGGGCTGGTGAGTGTGGGCTGGTGAGTGAGGGCTGGTGAGTGTGGGCTGGTGAGTGAGGGCTGGTGAGTGAGGGCTGGTGAGAGAAGGCTGGTGAGAGAAGGCTGGTGAGTGAGGGCTGGTGAGAGAGGGCTGGTGAGAGAGGGCTAGTGAGTGTGGGCTGGTGAGAGAGGGCTGGTGAGTGAGGGCTGGTGAGTGAGGGCTGGTGAGAGAGGGCTGGTGAGAGAGGGCTAGTGAGTGTGGGCTGGTGAGAGAGGGCTGGTGAGAGAGGGCTGGTGAGTGAGGGCTGATGAGAGAGGGCTGGTGAGTGAGGGCTGGTGAGTGAGGGCTGGTGAATGAGGGCTGGTGAGTGAGGGCTGGTGAGTGAGGGCTGGTGAGTGTGGGCTGGTGAGAGAGGGCTGGTGAGTGAGGGCTGGTGAGAGTGGGCTGGTGAGTGAGGGCTGGTGAGTGTGGGCTGGTGAGTGAGGGCTGGTGAGTGAGGGCTGGTGAGTGAGGGCTGGTGAGTGAGGGATGGTGAGTGAGGGCTGGTGAGAGAGGGCTGGTGAGTGAGAGATGGTGAGTGAGGGCTGGTGAGAGAGGACTGGTGAGTGAGGGCTGGTGAGAGAGGGCTGGTGAGTGAGGGCTGGTGAAAGAGGGCTGGTGAGAGAGGGCTGGTGAGTGAGGGCTGGTGAGTGAGGGCTGGTGAGTGTGGGCTAGTGAGTGAGGGCGGGTGAGTGAGGGCTGGTGAGTGTAAGCTGGTGAGTGATGGCTGGTGAGTGAGGGCTGGTGAGTGAGGGCTGGTGAGTGAGGGCTGGTGAGTGAGGGCTGGTGAGTGAGGGCTGGTGAGAGAGGGCTGGTGAGTGAGGGCTGATGAGTGAGGGCTGGTGAGTAAGGGCTGGTGAGTGAGGGCTGGTGAAAGAGGGCTGGTGAGTGAGGGTTGGTGAGTGAGGGCTGGTGAGTGTGGGCTGGTGAGTGTGGGCTGGTGAGTGTGGGCTGGTGAGTGAGGGCTGGTGAGTGAGGGCTGGTGAGTGAGGGCTGGTGAGAGAGGGCTGGTGAGTGAGGGCTGATGAGTGAGGGCTGGTGAGTGAGGGCTGGTGAAAGAGGGCTGGTGAGTGAGGGTTGGTGAGTGAGGGCTGGTGAGTGTGGGCTGGTGAGTGAGGGCTGGTGAGTGTGGGCTGGTGAGTGAGGGCTGGTGAGTGAGGGCTGGTGAGTGAGGGCTGGTGAGTGAGGGCTGGTGAGTGTGGGCTGGTGAATGAGGGCTGGTGAGTGAGGGCTGGTGAGTGTGGGCTGGTGAGTGAGGGCTGGTGAGTGAGGGCTGGTGAGTGAGGGCTGGTGAGTGTGGGCTGGTGAGTGTAAGCTGGTGAGTGATGGCTGGTGAGTGAGGGCTGGTGAAAGAGGGCTGGTGAGTGAGGGCTAGTGAGTGAGGGCTGGAGAAAGAGGGCTGGTGAGTGAGGGCTGGTGAGTGAGGGCTGGTGAGTGTGGGCTGGTGAGTGTGGGCTGGTGAGAGAGGGCTGGTGAGAGATGGTGAGAGAGGGCTCGTGAGAGATGGTGAGTGAGAGAAGGCTGGTGAGTGAGGTCTGGTGAGTGAGGGCTGGTGAGTGAAGGCTGGTGAGTGAGGGCTGGTGAATGAGGGCTGGTGAGTGAGGACTGGTGAGAGAGGGCTGGTGAGTGAGAGATGGCGAGAGATGGTGAGTGAGGGCTGGTGAGAGAGGGCTGGTGAGAGAGGGCTGGTGAGTGAGGGCGGGTGAGAGATGGTGAGTGAGGGCTGGTGAGAGAGGGCTGGTGAGTGAGGACTGGTGAGAGATGGTGAGTGAGGGCTGGTGAATGAGGGCTGGTGACTGAGGGCTGGTGAGAGAGGGCTGGTGAGAGATGGTGAGTGAGGGCTGGTGAGAGAGGGCTGGTGAGTGAGGGCTGGTGAGAGATGGTGAGTGAGGGCTGGTGAGTGAGGGCTGGTGAGTGAGGGCAGGTGAGAGAGGGCAGGTGAGAGAGGGCTGGTGAATGAGGGCTGGTGAGTGAGGGCTGTTGAGTGAGTGCTGGTGAGTGAGGGCAGGTGAGAGAGGGCAGGTGAGAGAGGGCAGGTGAGAGAGGGCTGGTGAGAGAGGGCTAGTGAGTGAGGGCTGGTGAGTGAGGGCTGGTGAGTGAGGGCTGGTGAGTGAGGGCTGGTGAGTGAGGGCTGGTGAGTGAGGGCGGGTGAGTGAGTGCTGGTGAGTGTGGGCTAGTGAGTGAGGGCTGGTGAGTGAGGGCTGGTGAATGAGGGCTGGTGAATGTGGGCTGGTGAGTGTGGGCTAGTGAGTGAGGGCTGGTGAGTGAGGGCTGGTGTACGAGGGCTGTTGAATCTGGGCTGGTGAATCTGGGCTGGTGAGTGTGGGCTAGTGAGTGAGGGCTGGTGAACGAGGGCTGGTGAGTGAGGGATGGTGAGCGAGGGCTGGTGAGTGAGGGCTGGTGAATGAGGGCTGGTGAGTGTGGGCTAGTGAGTGACGGCTGGTGAGTGAGGGCTGGTGAATGTGGGCTGGTGAGTGTGGGCTAGTGAGTGAGGGCTGGTGAGTGAGGGCTGGTGTATGAGGGCTGTTGAATGTGGGCTGGTGAGTGAGGGCTGGTGAGTGAGGGCTGGTGAGTGAGGGCTGGTGAACGAGGGCTGGTGAGTGAGGGCTGGTGAGCGAGGGCTGGTGAGTGAGGGCTGGTGAGCGAGGGCTGGTGAGTGAGAGCCGTCGTCTCCCGTATTGATCTGCAGCCCAAATATCCAGACTTATCTTGTATAAAGTAACATGTTGGCGTACGCCACTTTGCATGTTGCCCTTGTCACCGTGCATGGTGCATGTTGCAGAGTCACCGTGCACGGTCACCTCTAGTACACACAGTACACTCATCGCTCAGTACACATAAAGCTGTGCTTGAGACTAACAGACATAAATACAGTTATTTATTTAATAACATATTAAACGTCCAGTTGCCAAACGTACGATATATAGAAAATATAATACTGCTCATAGAAAAAAACCCACATAATTGTTGTCATTGACAATCTCTTAAATACATCGAAAATATTTAGAAACAATGAAGGCGAGCTAGAAAACAGACGTAAGTACAACTGGGTAAGCACATTGTGTACGACAGTTTGGACTGAGTGAAGATTCAGCGCGCCGGGGGCGAAGTAGGAGGCGGCACGTGGCCTCAGTGCTCCTCCCGGTGTCGGCGAGTGTGTGTATAGTGGTGTGCCTCGCAAAATCAGTGTCTGATTACTTCAACTTTTTACAAAACACACCAATGGAGTACAGTGTAACCAAGGTAATGTCCTGGGATTATATTTGTTTAAGAAATTGTATTTAACAGTGAGAGAATATATATATATATATATATATATATATATATATATATATATATATATATATATATATATATATATATATATATACGCATATATTTAGTCCGTGTGTGTGTATATCTGGGAAGGTGGAAGGGTGTATATCTGGGAAGGTGGGGTGTGTATATCTGGGAAGGTGGGGTGTGTATATCTGGGAAGGTGGGGTGTGTATATCTGGGAAGGTGGGTGAGTATATCTGGGAAGGTGGGTGAGTATATCTGGGAAGGTGGGTGAGTATATCTGGGAAGGTGGGGTGTGTATATCTGGGAAGGTGGGGTGTGTATATCTGGGAAGGTGGTGTGTGTATACATGGGAAGGTGGGGTGTGTATATCTAGGAAGCTGGGGTGAGTATATCTGGGAATGTGGTGTGTGTATATCTGGGAAGGTGGGTGAGTATATCTGGGAAGGTGGGGTGTATATATCTGGGAAAGTGGGGTGTGTATATCTGGGAAGGTGGTGTGTGTATATCTGGGAAGGTGGGTGAGTATATCTGGGAAGGTGGGGTGTATATATCTGGGAAAGTGGGGTGTGTATATCTGGGAATGTGGTGTGTGTATATATGGGAAGGTGGGTGAGTATATCTGGGAAGGTGGGGTGTATATATCTGGGAAAGTGGGGTGTGTATATCTGGGAAGGTGGTGTGTGTATATCTGGGAAGGTGGGGTGTATATATCTGGGAAGGTGGTGTGTGTATACCTGGGAAGGTGGGGTGTGTATATCTGGGAAGGTGGGTGAGTATATCTGGGAAGGTGGGGTGAGTATATCTGGGAAGATGGTGTGTGTATTTCTGGGAAGGTGGTGTGTGTATATCTAGGAAGGTGGGGTGAGTATACCTGGGAAGGTGGTGTGTGTATATCTGGGAAGGTGGTGTGTGTATATCTGGGAAGGTGGGGTGTGTATACCTGGGAAGGTGGGGTGTGTATATTTGGGAAGGTGGGGTGTGTATATCTGGGAAGGTGGTGTGTGTATACCTGGGAAGGTGGGGTGTGTATATCTGGGAAGGTGGGGTGAGTATATGTGGGAAGGTGGTGTGTGTATACCTGGGAAGGTGGTGTGTGTATATCTGGGAAGGTGGTGTGTGTATATCTGGGAAGGTGGTGTGTGTATACCTGGGAAGATGGTGTGTGTATATCTGGGAAGGTGGGTGAGTATATCTGGGAAGGTGGGGTGAGTATATCTGGGAAGATGGTGTGTGTATATCTGGGAAGGTGGTATGTGTATATCTGGGAAGGTGGGGTGAGTATATCTGGAAAGGTGGGGTGAGTATATATGGGAAGGTGGTTTGTGTATATCTGGGAAGGTGGTGTGTGTATATCTGGGAAGGTGGTGTGTGTATATCTGGGAAGGTGGTGTGTGTATATCTGGGAAGGTGGTGTGTGTATATCTGGGAAGGTGGGGTGTGTATATCTGGGAAGGTGGTGTGTGTATATCTGGGAAGGTGGTGTGTGTATATCTGGGAAGGTGGGGTGTGTATATCTGGGAAGGTGGTGTGTGTATATCTGGGAAGGTGGTGTGTGTATATCTGGGAAGGTGGTGTGTGTATACCTGGGAAGGTGGGGTGTGTATATCTGGGAAGGTGGTGTGTGTATATCTGGGAAGGTGGGGTGTGTATATCTGGGAAGGTGGTGTGTGTATATCTGGGAAGGTGGTGTGTGTATATCTGGGAAGGTGGTGTGTGTATACCTGGGAAGGTGGGTGAGTATATCTGGGAAGGTGGTGTGTGTATACCTGGGAAGGTGGGGGGGTGTATATCAGGGAAGGTGGGGGGGTGTATATCTGGGAAGGTGGTGTGTGTATATCTGGGAAGGTGGGGTGTGTATATATGGGAAGGTGGGGTGAGTATATCTGGGAAGGTGGGGTGTGTATATCTGGGAAGGTGGGGTGTGTATATCTGGTGAGGTGGGGTGTGTATATCTGGGAAGGTGGGGGGGGGGGGTGTGTATATCAGGGAAGGTGGGGGGGTGTATATCTGGGAAGGTGGTGTGTGTATATCTGGGAAGGTGGGGTGTGTATATCTGGGAAGGTGGGGTGAGTATATCTGGGAAGGTGGGGTGTGTATATCTGGGAAGGTGGGGTGTGTATATCTGGGAAGGTGGGTGAGTATATCTGGGAAGGTGGGGTGTGTATATCTGGGAAGGTGGGGTGTGTATATCTGGGAAGGTGGGGGGGGGGTGTATATCTGGGAAGGTGGGGTGTGTATATATGGGAAGGTGGGGTGAGTATATCTGGGAAGGTGGGGGTGTGTATATATGGGAAGGTGGGGTGAGTATATCTGGGAAGGTGGGGTGTGTATATCTGGGAAGGTGGGGTGTGTATATCTGGGAAGGTGGGTGAGTATATCTGGGAAGGTGGTGTGTGTATACCTGGGAAGGTGGGGTGTGTATATCTGGGAAGGTGGGGTGTGTATATCTGGGAAGGTGGGGTGTGTATATCTGGGAAGGTGGGGTGAGTATATATGGGAAGGTGGTGTGTGTATACCTGGGAAGGTGGTGTGTGTATACCTGGGAAGGTGGGGTGTGTATATCTGGGAAGGTGGGTTGTGTATATCTGGGAAGGTGGTGTGTGTATACCTGGGAAGGTGGGGTGTGTATATCTGGGAAGGTGGGGTGAGTATATATGGGAAGGTGGTGTGTGTATACCTGGGAAGGTGGTGTGTGTATATCTGGGAAGGTGGTGTGTGTATATCTGGGAAGGTGGTGTGTGTATACCTGGGAAGGTGGTGTGTGTATATCTGGGAAGGTGGGGTGAGTATATCTGGAAAGGTGGGGTGAGTATATATGGGAAGGTGGTTTGTGTATATCTGGGAAGGTGGTGTGTGTATATCTGGGAAGGTGGTGTGTGTATATCTGGGAAGGTGGTGTTCGTATATCTGGGAAGGTGGGGTGAGTATATCTGGGAAGATGGTGTGTGTATATCTGGGAAGCTGGTGTGTGTATATCTGGGAAGGTGGGGTGTGTATATCTGGAAAGGTGGGGTGAGTATATATGGGAAGGTGGGGTGAGTATATATGGGAAGGTGGTGTGTGTATACCTGGGAAGGTGGTGTGTGTATATCTGGGAAGGTGGTGTGTGTATATCTGGGAAGGTGGTGTGTGTATACCTGGGAAGGTGGTGTGTGTATATCTGGGAAGGTGGGGTGAGTATATCTGGAAAGGTGGGGTGAGTATATATGGGAAGGTGGTTTGTGTATATCTGGGAAGGTGGTGTGTATATATCTGGGAAGGTGGGGTGTATATATCTGGGAAGGTGGGGTGTATATATCTGGGAAGGTGGGGGGGGGGTGTATATCTGGGAAGGTGGTGTGTGTATATCTGGGAAGGTGGGTGAGTATATCTGGGAAGGTGGGGTGTGTATATCTGGGAAGGTGGGGTGTATATATCTGGGAAGGTGGGGTGTGTATATCTGGGAAGGTGGGGTGAGTATATCTGGGAAGGTGGGGTGTGTATATCTGGGAAGGTGGGGTGTGTATATATGGGAAGGTGGGGTGAGTATATCTGGGAAGGTGGGGTGTGTATATCTGGGAAGGTGGGGTGTGTATATCTGGGAAGGTGGGTGAGTATATCTGGGAAGGTGGGGTGTGTATATCTGGGAAGGTGGGGTGTATATATCTGGGAAGGTGGGGTGTGTATATCTGGGAAGGTGGGGTGAGTATATCTGGGAAGGTGGGGGTGTGTATAACTAGGAAGGTGGGGTGTGTATATCTGGGAAGGTGGGGTGTGTATATGTAGGAAGCTTGGGTGAGTTTATCTGGGAAGGTGGTGTGTGTATATCTGGGAAGGTGGGGTGTGTATATCTGGGAAGGTGGTGTGTGTATATCTGGGAAGGTGGTGTGTGTATATCTGGGAAGGTGGTGTGTGTATATCTGGGAAGGTGGTGTGTGTATATCTGGGAAGGTGGTGTGTGTATATCTGGGAAGGTGGTGTGTGTATATCTGGGAAGGTGGTGTGTGTATATCTGGGAAGGTGGTGTGTGTATATCTGGGAAGGTGGGGTGTGTATATCTGGGGAGGTTACCTTGCGTTGGTTTCGGAGCTTAGTGTCCCCGCGGCCCGGTCGTCGGCCTGACCGCGACAGTTGTTGGATTGATTAACCAGGCTTTTGGACGCGGCTACTTGCAGTCTGACATATGATGATCATATGTCTGCCTGACCAACACAGCCTGGTTGATCAGGTATCCTCTGGAGGTGCTTGTCAAGTTCTCTCTTGAACACTGTGAGGGGTAGGCCAGTTGTGTCATGTATGTGTAGTGGACCTTCCCTTGAGGTTACCTTGAGGTGCTTCCGGGGCTTAGCGTCCCCGCGGCCCGGTCGTCGACCAGGCCTCCTGATTGTTGGACTGATCAACCAGGCTTTTGGACGCGACTGCTCGCAGCCTGACGTATGAGTCACATCCTGGTTGATCAGGTATCCTTTGGAGGTGCTTGTCAAGTTCTCTCTTGAACACTGTGAGGGGTAGGCCAGTTATGCCCCGTATGTGTAGTGGAAGCTGTAGAACAGTCTCGGGCCTCTGATGTTGATAGAGTTCTCTCTCAGAGTACCTGTTGCACCTCTGCTTTTCAATGGGAGTATTCTGCACATCCTGCCATGCCTTCTGGTCTTATGTGGTGTTACTTCTGTGTTCAGGTTAGGGACCAGCCCCTCTACTGTTTTCCACGTGTAAATTATTATGTTTCTCTCCAACCTTCGCTCAAGAGAATACTAATTTAGGCTGTTGAGTCGGTCCTAGTAATTTAGATGGTTTATCGAGTGGATTCTATCAATAAAATATCTCTATACGCTCTCCAGGTCAGCAATTTCCCCAGATTTGAAAGGCTGTTATTGTGCCATAGTATTCCACTCTAGAGAGCACTAGCGTCTTGAAAAGTATCTTCATTGATATAGCATCTCTAGTGTGAAAGGTTTTTGTTATCCAACATACCATATTTT